AACTTTACATATATATATATATAATTACATAAATATATATATTATTATTTATTCGAAAATTATAGCATAAGTATGTTATAAAATCACTACAAAAATATCCATTTTGTCTCAACACTTCTGGTGTCTTATCAAGTGATGATGTTGAATGTTGAAAGGTTATACACTCAACACCATCACTTGAAGAGATATTTAAGATATTTATGTTATAATTTTCGAATAAATAAGTATATTTGCACTACTCTTTATTGGGTACTTTTTTTAAGAATAGTATTTGTTGGTTACTGGAATTTATTCCGTATACCCCAATTCTATACTTAGATAATGATATATATATATATATATATATATATATATATATATATATATAAGGGCAGGCGCCCGTAAATACAGATGTCGATACATCAATATGTTCAGAGATTTATTATAAAAAATAGCATTTTCAACATAATCTCTTTTGTGAATGCACTTAACCCAATCCACTTAATCGCAAAGATTGGCCATCATGCAGCAAAAATATCAGATTAAACTTCAGACAAAAACTCTAAGACGCTACGTACGGATTTATTGATTTACCTCAGATAGATATGAGGTAAATCAATAAATCTATCACGATAGATAGATAGACCGTATATCTATATAGAAATAATATAATAATTAATATAATAAATTAAAAATAAAGTAAAACAAAAATAAATTAAAAAATGAAATAAATACAAAACCTACATAAATACAATTAAAATAAATACATTTTCTCAAGAATAAGACGTAATTTCGATATTGTGATAATTGAAATGTTTCTAAAAGTTTATAAATTATAAATAGAAAAATTTACGATATTTAAATTACGTATTTCTGTTCTGTAAAAATAAAATTACCCAATCGATAATGTTACGTAATAAAGTATTTATGATAAGACAAATTTACGATTTAGTTGACGTCAACGTTTTTTCATGGAGCACATTTCAAACTAGATATAGTATCTGTTAATAAACTCAAGTGATTGATGAGTAAACCTATATCTGGGAAACTTTGTAGTTTTTATTTATCTATTCACACACACACACACACACGAGCGCACGCATGCAAAAAACACACACGTGCGTGCGTGCGCGCGTGTGTGTGTACGTGTGTATAAAGACGAAAGGAAAACTTATCTTAGCCGACACGTTTCGTTCTCTGAGGGACTTAATTAAGTCAAATCTGAGGATTTTATTTTGTCATAAGTATTTATATACAAGACCAAAAATGTTATTGGTTTCTTCAAAATCATTGGTATACGGGTGCTATATATTTTTATTATACACACACACGCACACACACACACACACACACACACACACACACACACATATATACATATATATATATATATATATATATATATATATATGACATTTCGGTTACAACTACACAAAAAAGACAATTGTTAGACATCGAAAAACACAAGAAAACTTAATTCTTTTAATATGCAGAAATGTCTACTCTTTGCCCGAAGAAGGTCACGAAACCGGAAACCCGTGTAGCAAAAAATATGGAAACTAAAGTATAATATATATATATTTAAAAAATCCACATTATAACCAAAAATGTTTGCGATTCGACATATGAGGGTCAACCGACAGCCAAGACACCAGCACATAGGATTTAATTATAGTGGTAAAGGCTTTGTGTAGGACCAGCCACACTTTCTGAAAGGCCGAATACAGAGACCTGGTGCACTACATGGCACAAGGTCCTCAAACGACCCTACGCAGGTTTTGAATTCAGAGTTGTCTTTCTCCTAGACCAGTTGCCATCCAGGGCTATAAAAGCCAGGTCTGTCCTGCTATTTACCCATAGCTGGGGGGAGAAGAGGAGGATTAATACCCTTCCCAAGTATATTAGCACGTAAGCGAATGTAATGGATTCAACTGGAATTCGAACCCGATCAGAGCCGCGATCCACTACTAAATCCGAGCCGGTATCCATTACTTCACCTTGCCTCCTCTCTCTCTTCTTCTCTCTCTCTCTCCCTTATATATATATATATATATATATATATATATATATATATATATATATATATAACTATGGTAAATTGGGAACAAATATAAATCAAATATGTATCGGAATCCGACAGAATGATGAGGTCAAGAATAAACAGGAAACATTTATCAAGCTACCTTTTATTAAAGTTTCATCAAAGAATGGTATATGGAGAAAATGAAGTAAGAAAATCTGGTATTTTTACTTTTGTGTTCTTATTCTTTATATCTCATTCTCTGATGAAGCTTTAATAAAAGTGAAACATGTTAGGTTAATAAACGTTTCCTATTTGTTCTTTATATTATATATAAATATATATATATATATATATAAATGACTATTGTTCAACTAATACATGGTCTAAGTGCCACTGTTACTGAATTGAGATGTTTTAATGGCGTACAACGCGGGAACAAAGGTTGCATATGATGAGGATATGTAGGATAGATATCGGTCTACGATGGATTTTCCCGTTCCATATTGTAACAGTTCTGGAGAAGAGGCTGTCCAGGTGGAACTGACTCCTTACCAATGGAATATGAAGGTAATGCGGATGAGTCGTTGGAATGGCAGGTGCTAGCTGTGAATGTATGAAAAGTAACGGAAAATAAGATCACAAAAACAAGGAAACCATTGATTTTAATTTTAAAAGTCTCTAGGGCCCTTTCAGCCAACATCTCATCAGGAGACAATCGTTGGATTAGCGAAAAGAATATTAACGATATTGAAGAGCAAAAAAGAGGGGGAAACACACTAAAATAACGAACAAGTATATATACTTGTAATGAGGGAAGGGATCGTGTAAATAAATTAGCGAGGGACAGTTAAAATAAAATATCCCCCAACAGATTCAGAGACCTTATAAATTCTTTCTGCCGGCAGAGAGAAGGTTTTCTTAATCCTATACAGACCGATTCCAAAATCTTCAAATGATTATTGGAATCGGCTGTATGAATAATTTTAAACCACTCTTTTTTATACAACTTGGCACAAGCTATATTCTCAACTAAATGTTGAGCAATAGCCGATTCCATATTCATGGGGGGAAGATAGCATATTCTATCTATCTTATTTTAGTGTGTTTCCCCCTCTTTTTTGCTCTTCAATATCGTTAATATTCTTTTCGCTAATCCAACGATTGTCTCCTGATGAGATGTTGGCTGAAAGGGCCCTAGAGACTTTTAAAATTAAAATCAATGGTTTCCTTGTTTTTAAAACTATTTATAAATTTTGTACCTCCAAACATTTGTTTATATATATATATATATATATATATATATATATATATATATCAACCTTGGTGATAACTGATTGGTCGATGATTTTAGTATGATTTTTCTATCGATATCCCAGGTCAGTCTTGAAACTATCCAACCTTTTTGAATATATCAAGAACTTGTTAAACGGCTTTTATGTAATTTTGACATCCATTGGAGGAGAGGTGTCCATGAACAGATATTCTCCCGTAGAGGATGAGGGTGGCGGTGATAGTCACAAATGATGATTGCTTAATGAGGGAAACTGCTAGTCATAATGCAGTGTTGATTGTTATGTTTACGCTGTTTATATCTATATTCTATATATGAACCATTTTCCTACCATAAATACGCTAACGTCCTAATTGACCACTCGGTCAAACGCCAAATAATTTGGAGATAATAAGAAAAAATAACTATTTTTGTTTTATTTTACAACCACATCCAAAGCTGCTCCCCCCCCAAAATAAAGCATTTATCAAACAATACACTCATTTAAGTTTCGTAATTGTTATTTATAATTTGCTGTATCAAGCGATCATAAGTCGATGCTTGTAAATTATAAGATATGTTTGCTAATTGACATTATCTGCCAACAGGCAACAGCTAAAGTAAAAGAAATACTTTTTTTTGCTGTGGTTACTCATCTGGCATCACAGAGTATTGTGTTTAATCCTTATTGGAGGATATAAACTTGGTGTTTTGTGATAAAGCTAATCTAACCTTCGCCAATAAATTTACAAAGATTTACTTCTTCATTCTTCCGATTTACAAAAATTACAACTTTAATTTAAAACTAGCAAAGAATAGACGTACATGAATATATATGTAACGTAGATGAAAACTAAAAACGTATTAAGAGCTGCTGTTTCTTGTAATTAGATGAGAAACACTCTTACAAAAAGATACGGTTTTTCGTAATTAGATGAGAGTCGGATGAGAATGAATAACTTGTTAAAGAAGCAACATCTTAATAGAAAACACTTTTTTTACCTCCAATACTTTTTAAAAACCTTGAGAAGTCTTAGATTTCATGGATGTACTTGTTAAAAACTGAAGTTTAATTTGAACAGAGAAAGACTTAGTAAAACAATTAATAAATAAATTCCCATAGGTTAAACTCTAATTTAGTTTATACAAACATGATTTAATTAGGAATCTTAACATCAAGAAAGAAGTACAACTCTGTTTATTTTTTGTATACGAAAGGCACGGCTTCATCTCAGTAAGTTTTACGACAAGAATTTTAAAATTTAAATTAACGTATGCAAAGTTTTGCTGTTTTAAGTATAGACACAAAATATTTTTGAAATCTCTCAAATGCTCTTCATAACACGGATGAATTAGTTTCGCAAGTGTGGTTGAAAAATACCAATATATGTAGATATATATATATATGTAGATATATATGTAGATATAAAGTTAACTTATGTAGATCCTATATTATATTCAATCGTGTCTCATCACGACTGAACCAACCTTTTGAATAAAAATGAGAATTAGTTTGAATTTCGGGAGAAAGATGTCATTCCTGAACGTCTAAAAAATATTTCTTCCTTGCCTTCCGGACTTTTAATTTCAGTTTTTTTTTTTTTAATCTCTTGTTTTTTCTCATGCTTTCACAAAATGCATATTTTAAAATATTACTTAACCCAGTAACTACTCAAATATACACGTATGCCTGCATAAATGCACAACTGGAAATCTACAGAGGAAAATATGCATCGTTGCTCAGGCACACTCTTCTTCTTCTTCTTCTTCTTCTTCTTCTTCTTCTTCTTCTCTTTTACACGCTTTCTCAGGCTTGAGCCTTATGTTGAATTTGTGCACAGTCTCTCATGTAAATATATAAATCCACTTCTCTATCTATCTATCTATCTATCTATCTATCTATCCCATTCTGTTCATATCTACCACTATGTATCTATCTTTTTAAAATCATGGCACCTCATGCAAGGCACTGAAACACAAAGAGTTACTGAGTGTGAAGAATAAGAAAAAAGAGAAACATTTTTAAAGAGTGAGAATAATTAAAGAAGAGTAATCAAGACGACAGTAGATAGCGATTGACATTGCGTTTAAATTTTTAAAGATCAAAGTTCGCAGGGATGCATGAACCCGGAAGAGATTTCCACAAATGAGAAGTGCAAGAAAAGAAACTGTTAGCATAGAACTTGCGGTTAAATCTAGCAGCCAATTCGATTGTGAATTGTGAGACCTTGTTGCTAATCTTGTACTGTGCTTAAATTCATAAAATCTAGGTATCATAGCGAAGAGCTCATCCAAACAATTACCATGAAAGTATTTATTGAAAAGGTACAGGGAAGTTACATTACAGCGGTGGCAGAGTGAGTTAAGCCAAGATGCCATGTCAGGACCAATAATATTGCAGATTTTTCTTTAGATTTCATCAAGTATTTCTGAATATGCAGTAAGAGCACCGCACCATATATGGTATAAATATTCAAAGTATGGACGAATGGTAGACTTATAAATATGTAAGATAGATTCAGGAAAGGAAAAATTTTCTAGAATGACACAATAAATTTTCTTAGCAGCAGACTTAGCAATGGATTCAATATAATCTTTCCACTTCATGTCTTCCAAGAATGTAGGCACGAGAAAGGGCAAGGAGTCACTTTCATGGAGTTTAGTATAGGCCAAGATGGTGGAAGGCAAGAAGGGGTCTCTCAGGTGATTTATAGGAAGAAGTTTCTTTTGGGTTATCTATCTATCTAGCTAGCTAGCTAGCTCAGCCTCTTCTTATCTATTTCGTGCAAAGTGAACGAACATCCCTGTAAATATATTTGTGTTTTTTGTTGTTTTCAGTTGGTGTTTCTATCCGAGGTGTTGAATACTTAAACTTTACAGCCGACGACAAGCCTGTCTATTGAGTTATCCCGTTAACCCGATTTAACAGTGTCGAATTTTCAGAAGTCGTCTTCTTAAGGTTCAGGTACAGACTAGAAAAACGGCGTTGGATGAAAAAGGAAACAAACACACACAATTACACTATGAAATCGAGAATGTTAACTTGTCTTGTAGTCCATTAGAATAACACAGCAAATACAACGTGTTGAAATATATCTCACGATTATTCTTTGTGTCAATTGAGAGAGACACATTCTTTTTAAAACGCGAAATGATACAGGAACAGACTGTGTAATATTTAGAGATTCATTGATTCATTTTTACGGCTTATCAACCCTTTGCAGTTTATTTAAAGCCAGAAAATCTTTTTAGATTGAGGAAGTAGTGTCTGTATCTTACTAATTTATAAAATAACTTAGTCTTACTAATTTAGTCTTACTAATTAACACATAGCTGGTGGGAGAAGAGGTGGATTCATGCCTTTCTGATGCTTATTTACGCGTAAGTGAACATAACGAACCCAACTGAAATTCGTCTCTCCGATTAATGTCCCTGTTATTATCCATTATGTCACCCACATATCCAAATTTACAGCAACTGATATTCCCAAGCGGTCACCCATATAGATACTAATAGACTCGACCTTGCTTAACTTCTTTGATCGTACAGGAATCGGTGTTTCAACGTTATATGGCCGTAAGTATAAAGAGAGATGTGTAGATAACAAGCTTAAGTTAGTGGTGGGTGTAGCTTTCCGTGGGAACACCGTCACTTTAGACTGTCTGCCGAAATTAATGGAAAACCATTAACTTTTGTAATTGAGTTTTAATTTGGCCCTTTACTAACCAGAGAAAACGATGAGAAGACTGTCTCCAGTATTATTATTCAAACTGCTCTTATTGCTACATTACATAATAGACGGACATTCCTCGTCAGACGAAAAATTGCCCCCTTTCACGTCTGTACTCGGGGTTGACTGCTCCCCTCCCCATTTGAAGCCGTCTTGATACGAGATATCTCCAGAAAGTATCTAATAATTTAATATTAACAAAGAAAATAGCCTAACTAGAGCAATGATTTCTTAGTTCCGTTCAAAGTATTCCTCTTAGGACTCCAGACAAGATTTAAGTTATATTCCATCATATCTGAAACTTTTCAAAACGGTCTGCTATGTCGACAGTTCTTTGATCGGTTCAAGTAACTATTTCGCCTCACAGTGTCTCTCAGAATTCGAAACGTTTAACAAAGTCTCAACTCTATTCAAATAATAATAATAGATGTTTTTATGTGACTGACACCAGACATGTGACACTTGTAACGTCTTCGCTGTAACGTAGCTTCTCCGCACCTTTTCTAGAAATATTTACATTGTTATGAATAGCTGTCCTCAAGAATTTAAGCGCAGTACTAGATTGGCATCTAGGTCTCATAATTTTAATGTTGAAATTACTAGTTGTAACTGTAAGTTCTATGTTAATATTTCCTTCTCGTGTATTCCCTTCTGGCTTCCAATAGTTCTATCAACTGCTCCCTTCAAAAATTTAAATGCAATATCAATCGTCGTCATTTGTCTCCTTGAATCCTCACATTTACTTGTCCTCATTGTTTCTTTCCCTATTAGTAAACCCCTTGCATCTTAGTGGCTTTCATCGCCTTGTTTGGGATGAAGTGATTGAAAGAAATTGATGTGTTATATGTTTTATCATACAGAATTAAGATAGACAATATTAAATATCCCGTTAAGTACCTTAACTTACTTGACCTTAATCTATTAAGCGTATTCACGAGGGGCTGATGCATGGTGCATCAGGAGTGGAAAGAGTCGGGGAGAATCCTGGCCGATTACCGAGAAGGCTGGGTTTTTTTTAAGTCTAAAGAGTGATGGTGCCAATGAGATTTCGGATTCACATCTAAATATTTTGAACAGGCTCAAATGGAAATTGTTTACGCGGACGCGGAGGGTTTCTTAATATTTTTTTATATTATATTATTTTTTTATATTATTTTTATTTTTTTATATTATATTAATTTTTTTTATTATTTTGTGCATTCGATTAAAAGATATTGGGGAGAATAGAGATCAAGTGACAACAAGGCGCACCGTAAAAAATGACGAGTGATACTCAGTGAGATATAAAACCAAAACCATTTTATCAAAATAAAATAAAAGCAAATTTAATTTAGGGATGACCAAATTTTGTGGCTTCTGCGCCCAGATGATAGAATAATAAATTCCTGGACAAGTAACTTCAGTCAGTTAGGTGTCATATGCAATACACGCTTAGGCTATCATATATCTTCCGATACATGACTGACGAGGCAGATTTTTCCCGTAGTAGGTTGCCATTTCTTTCTGTGGTAAACCAGTTACCACCCAAGGCTATAGAACCTGGTCTGTCCTGCTATTTACCCATAGCTAAGGGAAGAAGAAGAGAATTCATATCTTTCCCAAGGTATTAGCACGTAAGTGAATATAATGGATTTGACAGGAATTCGAACTCGGCCGTCCGATTCCTCAATCCAAGCCACTATCCATTACTCCGCCGTACCTCCTCAAGTAACTAAGGCTCAGTGGTTGTTGTGTGAAAAATCTAATTTACAATCAATATCAATCAAATCATATATCACAAGAAAAATGCCAGCATATACAAAACAATGCAAATTACAAAGAAGAAGGGTTTCAATGAGGTCGAACCCAGTTAAAATGGTATATTTACTTTGAAGGTATAAAATGTGAATGTTCTTAATAGTTTTTGTGATTTGATGTGAGTTGTCGAAGTTCGTGACAGAATCCGTTTGTACCTTTAGAGTTCAGTGTTTTCAACGTCGGGCAGTGTTTTTAGAATAGTACCTGGTAACAAATAAAAGAGTACAGAGCTGCTACGTAACATCTGTCCTCTTTTACGGCAGCAAATGTTGGATGATCTCCTCAAAGATGAAGAAGAGTCTTGAGGCAATAGAGGTATTTTTCTACAGAAGGATGCTAAGTATATCATGGCGTGTAAGCAACGATAAGGTTTTTGGAGAGGATGCAAACAAGGAGGAAGATTATACTTAACATCAGGAAGAGGCAGATGAAATTTCTGGGACACGTAATGAGAAATCAGGGCTTGAATAATCAGATACTCACGGGTCGAATAGAGGGAAAGAGATACAAGCAACGCATGACATACCCAGTGGGCTTAAGCAAGTGGATGACAGAACATGGCCTGGAGGAAGTAGAAAATGGACAAAATTTATTGAGAACTACAAGAGATAAGGGGAGGTGGAGATCCATGATCGCCTACACCCTGAAGGGACACGGCACATCAAAAGAAAAGACTTGTTCTCTAACGTCGAAACGACTATTTCGTTACAATATGCGGGGTGAGAATGAGACAATTCTGTCAAGAATTTGTTGCGGAGTGGGTTTTCGCGGCCGCTCGCTCAGGTTTTTAGAAGGCATCTTGTCTCCCATTCCCGGTGGTGGCATCTACTACTCCTCTGCACCGGGTTTCCAACTCCTGACGGTCGCGTCTACTTCTGCTGTTGATGGTCGTATTGCAGGGATTTTTATAGACAAATGTTAGCTCCAATTTTCCCTAAAACTTTTGGCGGTTCATCACAAGGATTTCAGATTTCAACTGGCTCGAGTAGCCATTGGTTAAAAAAAAAATCATGTTTATCAAAATTTATTTTAGTAGAAAAACACATCTGTTTTTCTTTCCCTTTCCTTCACCTTCAATTGCCCCCCCCCAACTCAAGGAGCTTTGCTCACAGACTGGCAAAGTTCAGGTTTCTGTAAATTATTTTATTACTATCATCCTTTTCCCAAAACTACTGAGAGCCGAAACTTATTCAGAGTGAAAAAAAAAAATTAAATAGAATAGGCTGTGATAGTAGTTTAGCCGAACAACTCATGTTGCCTCAAAACTAAGATATTAACATAAAGCTTGAGTCATATTCTTAAATAGTCTCATCAAATTGAGAATTCCATATGAATCTCATGCATGGGGTTAAACTTATTCAGAAATATCTAAACTGACAGTTGTATATGAAGATTAAAAATGGCGTCGAGTGAATCCTGTAGCTGTTAACGAGGACTATGCTTCGATACAGAATCACAAATAATTTTATCAAATAGCAGAAACCACATCACTTGTGAACATTCAACAATAGCAACAGATAAAATGGACACCACATGTAACTTGAAGAGAAAATTATGACACAATCACGATGTTGCCATTCAACATTACTTCAGAAAAGAGTCAGGAAAAAAAGCCCATATCATTACTGAAAAGAGCGATAACAATAAATGGACTTGATAAACCTATTTTTCTGAAAAGTTGTATTCAAATGAAGATTTTTTAAACGAAAGAAGTACTGGCTGCTCGGTTACTGAATGCCGATGGATTCCTTATGAGGAAACGGCAACTATTTTAATTCTCATTAGCATTAATTAATAATTCATAGATTTGCCTAAAACTATTTATTTTTCTTGTCATTCTTTCTGTTCTTTAGTGAAAGCGTATTGGTGATGGCAACTCAGAATTAGAAATTGGAATGCCTAGTTAAAAGTCCAGACAGTTCAGTTACAGACTAAAAGCTCCGTGAAAAGTATGAATCCATTTAGTTCCCTGCTATGGCTTAAACAGTTGGTCTTATATCTTGAAAAAATGTTATTCTCAAAAGAAAGAAATTGTCAATGCAATATTCACTCGCAAAATAAAGAAAGAATTATTCTTACGATACAAAATATGTTTCGGGTTTAAATAACACTCAAAAAGTTGATCAGCTATAATGAACAAATAAATTAAGCCATTGCTTTCTCTCCTCTTTTTCTTCCTGTTTTGTTTTCTTCCTGTTTCCATTTTCTTCATTTCTTCCTTTTTCTATGACCGCCTTCTTTCTCTTACATGTTTTCCTTTGTATCTTAATTCTTTATCCTTTTTCTTTTTCTCTTGTTTCTTTACTCCACTCTATTTGTCTCTCCTCTTTTTTCTAATCTCTATCCAACCCCTTCATTTTTTCCCTACTTTTTTCTTCCTTTATCTTTTTATTTACATCGACGTTCACCGCGTTCCCTCTGCTTCTATTCAGAATTAGCTTGCAATTCCATTTTCTTTCCCCGCGTCTTCTTTTTTAATATACGTCTCATACAACCGACTGCGATAAATCCGTTAGTTATTGCACCGTGCTGATGTCATCAAAGAATCATTGAATCCGAACACATTGCAGATAACGTTAAAATGATACAATAAACTCGGCGTGTAGACCAATTTCCACTTAAAGCCAGACTCTCTTGGTAACGCCTCTTGAGTTGTTCTCGAAAAAATGATTTATACTCTGAAATATACACCCACCGTTTCGTCTCACACAAAACTACCCATTTCTTAGGTAGAGCGGAATAAATTTGTATCGTGTAAGGAAGTAGTAAACGGTCCATCAATAAGTACGAAGGCTAATGATGAAAAATGCACTTCTTCTGCATGAGAAATACTTATTTTTTTTTTAGCACAAAGCACATTCCATGTCAATGCACTTAATTCTGTTGTAACGAATACATTGAGTCAATAGCTTCATCCACCGTTAGGAAAGTTGGCTCCCTGTGCAGCGCCAGGAATTTTTTCTCGTCGTAGTCGATCCTTCAAATCTACAAATCAACCATTCGCCCTTGCCTGGATTATTGCTACCATATATGGTCTGGAGCCCCTTCTGTTTGTCTCAAGGTCTTTGATAAAATCCAGAGACAGATATGCAATGTAATTGGTCCTGATCTGGCATCTCGTCTGCAGCCACTCTCTCACAGACGTGCTGTTGCCTCCCTCTGTCTTTTTTACAAATACTTTCCCGGAATTTCATGAATTTAAGCGTTCAACTAGGCTGGCTGTTACACTTTCACTGTCGGAATTGTTAAATGTAGCCGTCTCTTCTACTTCAATAGCTTCATGTCTTGCACTTCTCGCCTGTGGAACTCCCTCCCCTTTTTCTGTTTCCCTGATAGCTATAATCTCCAACTATTCAAATGTAATGTCAATCGACGTCTCCAGATGCCCTGGTCTATCCCCTATCCGTCTCTTCATCCTTTCCTCTATCACTCCTATTTGCTCTCGCCCCAACTCTCTGTGACTCCTTGCGTGCTAGTGGCTTTCAGGCTTGCTTGGGGTTGAATGCTTAAAAAAATATATATATATTAATCATAAAGATCGAACTTTATAATGCTGAAAATTTAAGTTAAAAGCTACGTTTAAAATTTGATATTTATTGGGGGAAATTTTGTTCAGCATCTGGCAAGACCGCTTGTAGATGTAAACAATTATGTATTCTATCATTTTTTTTTTGCAATCATTTAAACTCCCCCACCCCAAGCAAGGCAATAAAGCCACTAAGACGCGAAGGGCTTACTGTGTGAGAGAGAATATGAGAAAAAGAAAACAAATATTAAGAAAAGGGAAATAAAAGAACAGGAACAAAAGGAGACTGAAGAAAACGATTGCATTTAAAATTTTAAAATTTAAATTTCTCTCTCTCTCTCTCTCTCTCTCTCTCCATATATATATATATATATATATATATATATATATATATATATATATATATATATATATAGTACAGGTAATAGGTCTGGTGGTATATAATCCACGTTGATCCTAGTAATAACAAATATTAAAAACTGATGCAAAGTGGGCTCAATATATTTATTATAACAGAGCATATATATTTTTATATACGAGATCAGCCAGAAATAGACTATTCTCATGTTGAGGTAATTTTGGTTTTTACCGTGTATATATATATATATATATATATATATATATATATATATATATATATATAATATTTTTTGTTTAAAATATGATTCCTTCGCTATATAAGAGTTCTCAAGTTTTAAAAACGAGAGCCGAAATCATCCAAATAATTATTAAAATTAAGTTGAATTGGGGTGTTTAGTCTCGTTTCATCTTCAAGCGAAATTTTAGGAATAACCTAAAATCGGCTCTCGTTTTTGAAACATGAGAACTCTTATGTAGCGAAGGAATCATATTTTTAAACAAAAAAATATTATTATAATATAAGCTCTACTTATGTATAGAGCACTGTCTTCTTAAAAATAAAAACAAAAATACTAAGGAACTCTGGATTATGCACCCAACGTGTTCTTTTCTATTTTCTGCATACCTGCGCACTTATATATATATATATATATATATATATATATATATATATGAAATGTATTTTGTAGTTCGACATTATTGCGATAAACGTTATTCATACGTATTTGAGTCGCTAATCTTTGTTTTGTTTTCTTAAACAGTGGAATTAATAACAACTGAGCTATAATTTTCTTTTAAAAATGATTTTCATTTAATATATAGAAACTTGAATATCTGATGATATAAGTTTATCTCTAAGAAATAACTAAGAATTAAGCATCAAGTGTAGTTGCATTTTAAAAGTCTTTTCAATTAACGTATTTGATGAATTTTTCCAAAAATTAGATAAAAACATCAGCTGTTTTAATTGATTTTACGACATGTCAGCCTCTGTTGATTTAATATCGAAATTATATTTGTGTCTATAAGCTTTTATTTCGTGCGAGAATTGGAAAAATTGATCGCTTATATTTGAATCTGTATGTATTTATTTGGTTCGAGGATAGGTAGATATTGGTCGTTTACCTTTGAATCTAGAAGAATTTGTGTCATCGGTGGCCTTTTGGGGGGGCGGGGGGATGTAGTCAGCGGATTGTATCCCCTGCAGTCAAAATATCCACCGTGACATATCTGAAATTCAATTATATTTACCCAAATGCCGTAGACTTATCTGAACTTGTACGTGATTTCACTCCATATTGTCACATTAAACGTAAATAATGAGTTTTATATGCCATCATATGCATAATTTTTGAATTTTTGAATTATTGACTTTAAATAAAACAGTCTGTTTTTTTTTTGTTTTTTTTGAATCGATGATTGAATTTATTTCTTGTAAAAAATATCATATAATGGAAATATATAATTCAACTTCTGCCGACTTAGTATCGTTAAAGATCGTTTGAAATTCAAATTGCCCATGTCGTACAATGGAAAATAATCCCTTACTTATAATCACCTGGGTTGAAGAAGAGATAAAGTCTTTTTGACAACTTCCTGCAATATAACGCCCTATCCGACAGGTCTTAAACGCTTGGCATCAGCAGCAAATGAATGCTCTGTGAGCAGGAATGGACTGTTATTTTATGCTTATTAGTCACTTTATACATGCGTTCTATGGTCAAAACTATATCAGCATAACGTGATTCGCGACATGCTCCAATTGGTCACGTGCTTACTGATATTTGATATATTCATTCAATCACGCAATGTCACTGAATAATGAATATTTTTTCTTTTGATCCCGTCATCCATAACAGTTTTTGGTCACGATACATTGCTGAAAATATAAGTTCATTTATATATATATATATATATATATATATTAGGTATCTCCACTTTTCGCTAAGATTTTCGATACCTAAGCTTTTAATGATTTTTAAAAAATAAAAACACATTCTTAAAGATTTCTTTTTAGTGTTAATTGAAAGATAAAGGATTAAATTGACTATTTCCAGTAAGTAAAATACTCTGATGTATTTCAATAAGAAATTATATAGATTGGAATGTCAAATATTTGGTCGATTTCAAAAAATCTGTTTACTAGCGGCCATTTCATCCATTTTAACACGTTTTAAAATAAAATTTAATTATTAGTTTTAAAATCTTCCAAAAATAAAATTATATATTTGTGACGCGTTATTTGAGTAATGTTAGCAAATTTAAAGTTACATTTGTCCGATTCGAAACAAATATTACTTAGAGCATAAAAATTAGTATATAAGCATTTCTTAATTATGAGCCTTGTTTTTCTTTTGACTTTATTGAAGCACCGATAAGTTCCGAGGTGTTGAAAGCTCGTAGGGATGACCAGAATTGACATAAATTTATGAAATCTAAGTGAACGTATTTTTTTATTTATTTTTTTTTTTTTTGTTTTTAACTACCTAGTAATTTTTACAAATTAACAGCAGTTATCTAATATTTTTTTGATTTTTAGTTACGTTTGAAGATGCTTTATGAAAAAATAATAAAATTTAAAATACTATAAAATATTCTTAGATTAATTTTTAAATTCAAAAACTGAGATGAAATACCATGATAGAGATAACTCAATAATTTATGACCCATACTAAAATAAATGCAGAAAATAAAAAGATAAAAAAAGATAAAACTTACTTTAAATTTTAAAGTTTTAAAACTGAAGGGATGGTGTTCAAAACTGGTTGAAACGTAAGCAATGAATAACGAAATTGACACAAGCATATTCCTCTGTAAAAAGCGGACAACTCTTAGAACACATGATCTTTTCATAATAATGTTACGTATAGACTATCATTTATGGAAAATGGAATGCTTAAAGTTAAAAAAAAAATTAAATTATTTTAAAAATACTGATGTAAAACAACTTATATTAAGCTTTTCAATGTTTGATTCGTAAACACAGTTTCTATTTAATTAGAATATCACATAAAAGTAATAAGGTGTGGGAGATTTGTAAACGATTTTTAAATTATGATAAAATATTATAATTAAAATTCTTAAAAACTGAAAAAATCTTCTAAAAATTCATTATTCATCGAAAAATATTTTTCTTAAGACAATAATGTCCTAAATTCATTGACAAAAGCAATTAAAGGCTTTTCTACTTAAATAATGTCATAGTTTTATTAAATGTTCTTAGTTTACCATTCGGAGCAGATTTTCAGAAAACGAGCAAAAGTTTTAAAAACAAAATTGGATGATTTACATTCTCCAAGAAGCTCTACTTTTAACAAATAAAAAGAAAGTTTAGACATAGAGTTTAATTTCTCGAATTTTCTTGAAATTAAGTAAGTGAAAAAATATCTTTACCAAAATTTTCTAAAAGAAAAAATTCCAAAATAATTTAATTCATTTGTGAATAAGTTCTGAAAGTTTCATTAAAATCAGAGAATTATTTGATTTTTGCAAGAATTTTCCTTTCAATGTGTTTTTCACCGGGAAAAAAGCGCAAAAACACTTAACTGCAAAAAAAAAAAAAAAAAAAAAAAAAAATTACTTGGGTCGCTGACCTAAAAAGAAAAAAAAACAAGATTTTTAGCCAAAATTTCGAACGTATTAGAAAGGTTTAAAAAAAATAAAAAATAATTAAAAAGTAGTTTGGTCTTTCCTCTTAATAATAGTATAAACATTTTGACGACAAAACTTTGTTTTTTATTAAGTGTGGGGCCTTTTTTTTTTCCATCATGCTAAACTCTTTCTTTGTGAAATGCGGATGTGCCTAATATATATATATATATATATATATATATATATATATATATATATATATATATATATATATATAAATTGATTAGATTGATGTCACGGAAATTTAAGCTAAAATCTATGTTTCATGATAATTGAGCATAGGCGCGAATTTTCAATTTTCATTTTTCCTTTACTGATTGATCGAGTACTGAGTTTCCACGTTACTCGGTGTAATGTTCTAATATAAGGTTACTTACTCGCCTCGCCGGCAAGATATGACAGACAGCTTCTTTTTTTTTTTATGAAGGGCTGCCTTTGGCCAATTCAAAAATTGCTTAGTCCCGCGCCCACTGTAACCATGACGACGATATTCCACAGACTCCCCCTCTTTTAGTATAATGTGGGAGGTGCTTCCACAGGATTAGAAACCTGGAGCAGGCGTCCTCTCCCTTGTCAAATGAGGCGAACGCGTACTAGGCATTAACCCCACCAAATAAAGGATATACACCGTTTTAGGGGACACGGTGTATATGTAAGATATGGGCTAATCTGTATATTTTGGGGGATTACTTTCCTTATCATTCTTAGTTCATGTTGATGACTTAAACAGGAAATAATGGAATCATCCAACACTATTTCTAAAACCCAACTTTGAATCTGCTTTAGAATTGGTCACTTAACACATGTAATTGTTGTGTTTTGGCTCTCGTTGGCCCTCCAAATACAAATCTCCTGAGTTCTTATGGGGACATCTACAGCTAAAAGAGAGAATCAACTTCGGAAAGTTTTTTTTGACAATATTGATTATCCATCTAAAAATAGTGTACATTTTTTTTTTGCCAAAGCCTTCCTAGAGAATTTTATTTACTTACATTTTTGGTCTGTAAATAAAACACATTTACTTAATTTCGTTACGATAACGCCCCTCCCTCACTATTCCGCTTTCTTACTAATTGTTGGCCTCATCAATAAGTATACTGTCTATAATTTTGGTAAGAGTTAATATATCTAAACTTTTTCGGATGCTGCAATATATCTTTTGAGCATTTACTGTTCTCATCACACCTTTTCGACCGACCCATTCTTCAAACTTCGTCAGATATAATCTGTGAGAACAAAGGACCCCCCCTAAAAACAACCAATCTAACGATGAAAATAGTTCAACAATATAGCCAAAGAAGGGTTTCTTCCCATAGTATCAGTACACTAAGAGTCAACGTGATTCATAATTACTGTTAGAAGAAAAGTGGCTTCCAAAAACCGACGTTGCTAATAAAAAAAAAAAAACTATTTGCTCTTAAGCTCAGAACAGAAGAGACGGCCGGAATATAAGGGTAGGTTGGAAAATGTATTGAAAATGTTTCGGAACAAATAAGGAAAGAAAAGGATGTTGGAATAAACCGATAATTTGGAAAAAGTGGAAAATAAAATAAACGGGGAGCCTGCAATAACAGCGGGTAGGTTGGGGAAAATCAAAAATGTAAGTAGGCAGCGATTACTTTTAAGGATCATGAGTATTTGATCAATGTTAAAGAAAAAAGTTTACATCGGCCATTATTACCGATTTGTTGATTGAAACTATCGCATAATATTCTAATTAAGAAAAAGCAGTTGCTGATACAGGAGGGATAAACTGTCCTTGGATCATAGTTTAGACTTCCTTTTCTATGTGCCGAGTCACTTTAGGAGGTGGGAGGTCATGGTTCTCCATAATGTCTTCACCTTTGTAGCTCCTAGTAACGTTTGTCTTTTTAACATCCATCCCTTCCGCCACCCATTCACACAAGCTGATCAGGTAGGTGCCGCGATTCCTCTCCTTGTACATTTTGAATTATGTCTTGTGTGTGTCAAATTTTCTAAGCCCCCTTTCCTCATTGCGTCCACAAAGTTTCAGCTGTCCCTTTCTGATTCTAAGTCATTTTTGTTTTCATTTCCCTCATGACTTCTTCGTTCCTTCCGCCATCTTTACCCCAAGATTGGACGTAGGCTAACCACAGTCGCACCCACCCCTTTATACTAGAATAGGCTAGACTAGAGTTTCGCAAAAGGAGTGCCCGGGTGCACTAATGTGCAATGAATTAACAGAAGAGCAATTTATTATTTTATATATATATATATATATATATATATATATATATATATATATATATATATATATATACATAAACAAACAAACAAACAAACAAACAAACAAACCAACAAACCTTATCTTTAAAAACTAGACACGAAGCACGTGGATTCCATGTCTAAGTTATTTGATATTTTGAACGGGATGCTAAATTCCTTAATCTTTAAGAAGGAGTGAATAATCCTTTCCTTTTTACCTTCTTCAAGTCCTAACATATAAGGCTTAACATTAAAAAAATTGCCAAAGCAAATCAAGCAGACTTAAATATACAATGTAATGTCTTAAAAATAGATGTTTATTTCAGGAGACTTCTTTATTTTCCTATTTCCAAATTTAAAATTTAAAGTGTATGCCAGAGTTTTAGTTATTCTACAAGTGAGTTCTGAAGCAAGAAAGGTCGAGAATCACAGGTCTAGATTATAGACAAGTGTGTTTTTCGAAGGTATTAAATTGAGCTGCTACACTGATGATCATTGTTGATGACGATCTTATGACTTGCGCTTACTCTAATTTACTTCAAACGTGTCAGTTGCTCGCATGACTTAATAACGCATTATAGAAACAGGTTCTGTGAAAAAATCAATGAATAAAACAAACAGGTAAAATGAATGACCTGTTTCATTTACCTAACATTATTAATTTTTATTTAATATTTTATTTGTACCACCTTGATATGTTTTTCTTAACGATTTTTTTGGATGGTATTCTTGCCTGTGTAAATCAGAATTTTAAATAATAAGTGGGCGCACTGGCGTAGAGCAATGTTTAACGAGGCTAGTATCGTTGACTATTAGCACTGAGTCCGATATTCACCGCGTGTTCCATAAAAATACGGTATTAAATACCTCCACAATGGTTGACATGTCGTAAAATCAAGCGACTTAACCCACTGGAAAAGCAATAAAACAATGTTCATTCTACAGATTTGGCTTTTCGTCCAACTTCGCTAAATTCATAGATTTATTTTTCTAACGGGGATCAAAACATTCTTTCAGGCGTTTCAGTTTTCTTTTGTTACATTTTTCTTATTTTTTTTAATTCGCGTTTAAATTTGTTTTTCATATTTTTTTTTATATGTTAATCTTTTTCCTTGGCTTCCCGAACTTTTCTTTCTTTCTCTATTTCTTTCTTTAAATTGTTTCAGCAGTTCTCTTCTTCTCATCGTTCTTTTTTTTTCTTTTCTTTCTTTCATTCAGGTTTTATGTTTTCCTTTTCTCATCTATTCATTTCTTTTTTTTTATTTGTACGTTCATTCATTCATTTCTTTCTTTATTTAACCACCCCTTTACTTTCCAGTCGACATCCTTACCAACATTCTTACTCTCTAATCGGCATCCTCACCAACACAACACCCCTTACTCTCTAATCGGCATCCTCACCAACACAACACCCCTTACTCTCCAATCGACATCCTTACCAACACCCCTTACTCATTTCGTCTCAAAACGCCGCGATAAAGTTACATAAAACAAAAACAACGATAGATTGCATAAAATGCCAAAGAATTTGAACTCGATATTTGATGAGCCAATGTTTGTACACTCTTTGACTCGATGTTCAATTAAGAAAAGCAGAGAATTCAAAATATATTAAAGAATAAAAATTAATTAAAACTACTCGATAGAATTGTTGCTGCATTTTTTTGGTAAACAAGAAAACATAATATATTGCAATCATATTCAGTTTTGGGAAAAGATATCCCTGAAACACAAAAACAAAACAACAAAAACCTCTGAAAATACTCTGCATAACTATGCGAAAACATTTCTGGTGGCCAGGGTCGTGGGTGGGAAATGAAATTATTGAAAATGTTCTTGGTTTTTGTTCTCATAATTTTCTCAAACCAAATCCTCTGACAATTTTTGTAAGGAATCGCCGTAAGAGAAAAAAAAAACTCTAAATTCCTTTACTGTAAACCTGTTCCCTTTCCTCTTGAAGGAAGAAAGATCACATTATTGCACATAAGTGACGTTTCTCTCCCAACTACTTATAAAATAAACGAACGAGCAAGAATACGCCGCGGCGACAATAGCAGTGAAATACGTGGAACATCAACATTACCAACGTCGAGACGAATAAGTGTAGAAAATGAAACAACAGAATGATCCTTAACTAATAAAAAACAACCAACACTGCCTACTAAGTCCAGTTTCTACATAATCCGTTTTCAGTTTAGTTTAAAAAAATAACAATAATAAAAACAGTTCTTTTGAATTATTCAAGATTAACGAAACAGTTTTAAGATTTATTAATGGATGTGCAGGTGGTGTAATGAATAATCGGAGAGCCGAGTTCGAATTCCAGTCAGATTCAGTTACGCACAAATAACTATTGGAAAGTACGAATACACCTCCCCCAAGTATGGGTTAAACAGTAGGACTTGTATCTGAAAAAATCTTTGTTATCTAAAAAAAGAAATGGTAATGAAATATTCACTCGTAAGAATTAAGTACTTAGATTGGGTATTCACCAGGTGCTGAAAACTTGGATGTGTGGGTGGGGCTCGGAATTGGGGAGCGTTAGTCCGGGTTCTAATTCTCGTTGGTTCGTTATATTCACTTACGCATGGCTAACATTGGAAAAGGTATGGACCCAAGGCTTAATTAGTAAGACTTGTATCACTAAACCATTTAATAATCTAGTAGTATTTTCTGGCTTTTTAATGAACTAGAAAGGGTTGATAAACCGTGAAAATCTAATTTCAAGTGATCTCTCTGCCACAGTTCCATTGAATGTACGCAAATATGCAAGTATGAAGTTCTGTAGACTCCCATTTGGTAAGAATGGCCTTTGGCAAGAATGGCGTTTTATTCCGTAAACCTTTTCCCTTAAAACCCGCTACTTCATGGAACAGACTGTCACGTGGATGCTTTCTATAATCTTAACCTTTTCAATTCTTGTGTCAATCGTTATCTATCCGTAATCTTATCTTCCAACTTTCTCTGCTTATGTTCATATCCCAAACTTCATTCAGTAAATCTCTCCCTTGAGTAGCTCTTTGGCCTTGTATTGGGTGAACATTAGGATATATATATATATATATATATATATATATATATATATATATATATATATATATATATATATATATATATATATATCTGTGTGTGTGTGTGTTTCATTAAATGCGACAGACAAGGTACTACGATTAAGCTTTTTATTTAGTTTCTCTTGTATTCGAACAAGTGTTTTCTTTTTTGGACACATAGTGTATAGAAAGTGCCCAAATGTTCTATAATTCCGCACTCTTTCGGCTATACTTTTAGCCATTATCAAGGATAATTTTATTTATTCAGTTTAATTGAGTGTGTGCGTTGTGTATGTTTTTAGTGTTATAAAAATGTTTTACTTTCCTAACACAGCACATTGTGGCCATGTTTGTCATTAATATTATTAAGTGTTGGCTTTTTCTTCTTTTATTATTAAGGCTTCCATTATTCTTAATCATTTTTTACAGGTGGATGAGGTTATTATGTTCGTATTTTTCTACCAGTATGTTTCGGACACTTATTTGAATACAAGAAAAATTAAATAATATACCCTTTGCGAAGGGTAAATTAAATAAATATAAATAAATTAAATAAACCTTAATAATAATGAAACATGCATAAATGAAGGATTGCTGCCTAAATACACAATATATAAAGCTTCGCTACGTTAGCGTTGTTGCTGTGGTTTCTGTAGAAGTAGGATTTTGCGGAATGGATTTGCTAGCTCCATTTCCAACTGGTTTTCTGTTTGGAGTTGTCTTTCTCCAAAAATTGACAGCCAATTAAGGCGAGAAAGCCTAGTCTGCGTTGGTATTTAACCCGGAGCTGGTGGGTAGGATAGATAGTTTCCTACTTTCGCAAAGGGTATTTTTTGCGAAAGTAACACCACGATCTCAGCTTGAATTTGAAACCGCCTCGCTAAATAAGTGCCGATAAACTCTGCGTTGCCTATTGTATACTAATGTATATAAACATGAAAATGGGGAAAAAGGTACCAATTCACCAATAAAAAGGAAAAATAAGCCATTATGACCGACTTTACACTGTATGGTAAAAATCAAAAAACAACTGAGAAATCTGATTAACATAATGTCGAAGTCAATTCACGAGTATCCGTAACTAATTAGGGTCGCAGGGGCAATACACGTACAGCAGTGGTGTGTTTAAGGCAAGACAGACTAATAAAGCGAACTCCTCTTCCTGTTTCTTTTGAATTCAGAATTTTCTTTCTCCAAGGCTGGTTGCCACACCTTAAGGAAAGAAAGACTCGTTAACTCATAGCTTAAGGAGGAAGAAGGGATTAATTTATATCTCTTGTAAATATTTGTGCGTAAGTGAACGCATCAAATTCGGCCAGGATTTGAATTCGGCTCGCCAATTTTTCGTTCCGAGTCGCTGAGTGTTACACTACCTGCAGGATATTTATTGTATTTAAAATACAATTAGGGAACAAAGCCAACATGGGGAGGGGTTGAGGCTGGTCATCACTATCTTATACCTCGCTAATCTGATTCACGACCCATTCACAGATTACAGTTTCCACATTCACCATAAGAACTCGTCCGTCACCAATCAATCCTCCATCCACCATAATACCGCATCCTCTCAAGGGGAAACCTACAAAACGCGCCCCCACATGCCTTAAAAATTAATATATATATAATATATATATATATATATATATATATATATATATAATTCTGATATTGAAGAATGAGAGAGGAGGAAGATGAAACACAAAGTAAACTAAACATAACTGATGTTAGTAGGCCCCGTCCAACCCTTAAAAAGGAGAGGCCGCTGTATTCTGTCCATTGGACAAAATCAAAAAAGCTCTCTTACTACGGAAGTGGGAAAAGGATAAATAATAATACGGACATGGGAAAATATAAAGCTGACCCAGTCAAGATGAAAAATGGGGGGGGTGCAAAACAAATTGGAGAGGTTTTGGGAATCTCGACTTGAATCCTAACCAAAGAGGCAGCCGGGAACAGGCAGGGAACAACACTTACTCACTAGGTACACTGAAGCTTGTCTAAGCTAACCAGCGTTACACTATCTGCAGTGTAGAACTATTTCAGTGGACGGAGGTTTTCTAATAACGCACAAGATAAGGTTCACGGGAAACGCATACGCTCGAACTGTACGACGGCAAAGCAAAATAGCCGCAAAAGACCGCTTCAAATACCCAGAAGCATCTGAATGTGACAAATTGATGGAAGAGGAGGCGAAGACAATAAAGACCGTTGGGGAAGCAATGAAACATAAAAAGAATTAAAAATTAGTGTCCAAAATCAGAAGAAAATTCACTGGAGATTTCAAGAAACAAAGAAAAGTAAATTGCTGACGAAATGATAATAAGAGGAAATTTTATGAGAAAAAGTAAATCCTTATATTATTTGTTTTTTTTTTTCTTTCTTTTTTTTAACAGTGAGGTTCAGCTTGTACAAGGACCGGGAGCCACTCATGGTAGAGGTTAAAAGAGTAAGATCCACATTTTATGTGGATATCTGGGGAAGATAATCGTTAACATTAACTTGAACAGATTAAGATTGTAGTGATCTGGAAAATATACTCGTGGGAGTCGATTCCCCAGAGCTTTTGTTCGCAGGAAGAAGCTGCTAGAGTAGAACTTACTTCTCACCAATGAAGCGCGGGGAAAGATGGCGATCATTAAAATCTACATAGCATGGCAGGTTCTAGCCGTGAAGAGCTGGTAGGACTTATGAATGCAGTTCGTCTAAGCACTTTCCATGGAAGAAGTGATAGCACAATGAGAGGCTTGCGACATCTCGTCTGCAAGAAGAAGATTGCAGAGTAGAAATTATAATGAATCCAAAACCTGAATAATATATGTCGCCTGTTTGATGTCATCATTCATATTATAAGTTTTTACCTTGACATTCACCTATACATAAAACCTGGTGTCAGCGTTTAATATAAGCATTTTACTGGCGAATAAGAACATAAAACTAAATACCTCATACCCAAATTTACTGTTTATTAAATTTTAGAATTCGTTAAGATCACCAAGTGCGTGTGTGAACTTAGGGTTTTCTCCGAACGTGGATTCTTTTTATCTCAAGAATGTAATCTGTCTTTCCTCCCCTTAGTGTAGCACTAATGTATCTTCCTGTCATCCGGTTGTCCCACGTGTAAGGACCTTAAGCACAACTTCCACGTGTTGATAGCCACTGCTATTCTGTCTTAGACGTGAATCTCTAAATGGTAGTTTAGAAGATACCTTCCAGGTCCATCCGCTGATGCACCTGGCTTCTTTTATGCTCTTTTGTGACACAGTGTAAAGTTTATCATCTGCGATGAGTCCAACATACACTGGGCCTACCACAGATCAACTTCTCTGAGAACAAAGGTTTCTTATTGACTTTAAAATCTATTCAAACCATCTGCTATTTCCTGGCATGGATCACATACTGCAATCGTCGTGGTCCTAGACTGTCTTTTCAAATGAACTCG